GATGTTTTTAGTGAGCCATGGAGGCTTATATGCTCTCCTGCCCCCTTTGACCCTCCTGGGGATTACCTTCCTCTGGGCTTGGAGGATCGTCTCCTTAAGGAGCGACCACTCCCCTTGGACACCCGGCTCCCCTCCCCTAATAACCATTTCCCTTTAGCAATGGAGTACCCCAGGATGGATGTGGACACATACCATCAAAACTGGAGTAACCTGTGCCCAGAGGTTCAGCCCAGAGTCTTTCCAGGGTAACTCTCCGTGAGACTGGGAAGTTGCCTTAGTTGATGGGTTTGTATCATCTGTTGCCGACTGTTTTGCACTGATGTAAGGCTGATTACACCGGCATAAATGTTACGTCTGTCTGTGCCTTGAGACGATGATGTAGCTTAATGCCCTAGGGAAAGAGGCTGCGCCCCACTGCACTGAGCTCATGTAACGCGCAGCCTGTTGGCATTGCAATGGTGTCCCTTCCATACTGGACGGGATGGGAAAGCACACGGTGAGCAGGTGGGATAAGATGTTCATTATTCTCTTTCTTACCTCCAGATCCCTCAGGACAGGGTGGTCTTCAATGCCTGGGAAAAGCACCCTCATAGTGTAGGTCCGGTAATCGAGGAAGGGGATCCCAGCACCATCCAAATCACTCGTGAGCTCATGAATGTCCGTCTGAAGCTCCGCAAAAGCTGAGACAAAAACCCACATGCATTACACTGCTGGCCTGGATTTGCACCTTGACACTATCTGAAAAGGGCTGGGCTGCCCCCCATGCTGGTATAACTTATACTAGGAGAGGGAAGGAGGGAATAAATGGATGGAGAAGTTGGCAAAGTATTGGGCTTAGCTTCCCCACCTGTCAGCCTCTCTCCAGGGTCTGATGACACACAAAGTCTGCATGGGGTCAGACACTGAGAAGGGGTTCAGCTAATCCAGTTCTCAGCGTGGTTTGGCCAGCCAAAGGAGATGGTTTGAACTGATCTGGGTCTGAATCAGAACCTGGGTTCTGATACTCTTGAGCCTAGAGAAGCTGAAGCCGTGCCCCGCCGGGGATCAGCGCCTGCACCGGGCACGAGCACCCTGAGCACCTGCCTGGTGACGCTGCCGGCAGTGCTGTGGGGAAGTGCGTGGGGGGCCCCCACGCCCCCCACTCTCACTCATACCCCACAAACCTCACACACCCACACCCTGCCTACACAACCCCACCAACATACAACCCAACATACCCTATGCCCCTCCACCGCCACGCCCATTCACAAATCCCCCCCACACCCCACCATACACACACAGGCCCCACCATACTCACCCACACACACCCCATCATACACGCACACACTCCTCTACCATGCTCACATGCACAAACACCCCCTACCATATATATGCACGCACACCCCTTACCATACACACCCCAACACCCCCACCATACACACAAAGACACACACATACACTCCCTATCATAAACATACACACTCCCACATCCCCTACCAGACACACACACCCACACCCCCTACCATACACTTACATACATACCCTACCATACACACACGCATCCTACCATACACACATCCCGCACCCCCACCATACATACCCATACACAACATACCATACACATACTCCCTACCATACACACTCACCTCCACGCCCCACCATACATACCCCCACCCTCAACCACACCCCACACTCCACCATACACACACAATATAGAAGTGTGATACTTTATTTTTGAGTGTCTATGCAATCAATCCCTTCTATATACAGTACACAAACACAAATCATGACAAATATTTTTTGTAATAAAATTAATATATATTATAGTAGGTGTTTGACTTCTAGTTAAGTATGTGATTTGGTTGTTTTCTGGTTCAGAAATGGAAACCCTCCCCCCCAATCCCAAAAGGAGTATTTGGGGTGAGGAGACATGGGGAGGGATTTCTGGTCAGGGGTTAGGGGGTGGGATGTCCAGTCCCAAGATAGCTACCAGGGGGCGAGGCAATTCTCAAGGGACAGGGCTATCCATGTGGCCCTCCGCAGCTCACCAGCCAAAAAAACTGCTCTACCTGCTGTGACCTCCCAAATGAGAGGAGACTCTTTAGCCCCAGGGCCTCTCCTCTCCTCTCCCTCCTACCTTCCTTGCATTCCAGCGCCACCCTGGACTCCAGGTTGTCCATCTGCATCTGCAGCCGCTTCAGGGTCAGGTCACTCTCCCGGGACTTGCGCTTGTAGGCAATCAGCACGGCCACGATGAAGATGATGAGCAGGCCCCCAGCCACAGCAATGCTGACGATGGCAGGCAGGCTGAGCGGGCTGTCCGGGGAGATGTAGACCATCCCAGGGGAGAACTCCATCCCTCCCACCCGAGCCTAGGGGGAAATCAGGAGAGAGTCATGTCAGAAAACCCCAGACTCAGGAGCTCCCAGGACCTCCATCTGTCCCTCAGTGACTGGGAAAGTTACACCTGTAGCAGCAGCACCTGAGCTGGGCACGCCAGCTACTCTCACAAGCTAAACAGGACCCTGAGGAGCTTAGGGCCTGGATGCAAGACAGCCCCAAGGTGCTGCTAGAGGTGACTCTAGTGATTCCTCTTGAGCTAGGTCTCTTCTTCCTGAAGAGGTACCGAACCCAGCTGCCCAGCACAAAGCTAGTGGGATGGTGAGATCTTAAGCACTGTTGAACAGATGCACCATCCACTTACAGGCTGTGTCAGAAAGAGCCTTCCTAAATCTCTCATCTTAGTGCTTCATTTTCCTTTCTCTGCATCTCCAAGCACATTCACCCAGTCCTCTGCCCCTGCCTTTCATTTCTGCTCTCCCCTCCTGAAACTTTCTCTGTATCATAGAAAATAAAGGTTGGAAGGGACCTCAGGAAGTCGCATCTAGTCCAACCCTCTGCTCGAAGTAAAACCATCTGCCTTGAAGACAGCTGGACAAGATCAGGGTGACACTGGTGCAAAACCCTGCTGTTGCCTGCTTCCTTTTTCTGAGGTCTCACTGTACCCCACCATGCTTAATTCACTGTCATAACACTGGGGGGAGAACACCCCCCGCTCCATCTTTGCAGGACCTGGGATGTTCAGCGGTTTGCGCCATGGCATATTAGGCCCCAGAGATTGGACAGTTGATGCTTGTCATCACCGTGGCACTCGTGTGGAACGCAGCGAGTACTAACTCGAGTACCAGCAATGCCAAGCTGCATTGGCAAGGCGTTCCCCAGAC